ATGTTCTAGTTCGGTTGTTGACTACAGTAATCTACTTATTTAGGGCAAACAGGATCCTAGTTCGGTTGCTGCCTAATTTTGGATCTAAGGCAAGGTTTTTACGGAAGTTCATGCACGTATGAACTCTGCTATCATTTTTTCATAAGAGTACAGAAGCAAAAACAAAAAATGCACGAGCATGCTTCACCAAGACAGAGAAAACAGAAAAGAAGAAAGCAAAAACAAGTTTTTTCAAACTTACCAGAGGGAAACGAAGGCAAAGAAGGGAGAATGGTAGCAAAACCACAGCCTCTTTAAGTGCAACGGAAGAACAGCTAGAGCACACAGAGAGAAGACGAAGAATATGAAAAGTGTAAGTGAATGATTCAAGAGTAGAAAGGTTGTTTTGTGAAAAAGAACAGAGAAGAGGCGGCAAAAAGAGGCGGGACTGTTCAAAAAGTTCGAAGTACGAAGGCGGCGTGATAACAGCTCACAACCTATCAGAGCCCGCCACGTGGCAAGGGAAGGGGAAGCGTTACAGTCGTGATTGAAGAGACGTTTTGACCGGATAAAGCAGAGCTCGGAGTAGAACTAGCTCGGCTGGATACGCTGAAGGGTTTTTTATCTCGGCTGGAAAGGCTTGTAGAACTTCAGCTCGGTTGAAGGATTTGTAATCTCAATCATGCTATGCAGATGAAATTAAGGGGCAATTGAGAGGATATTTTTTGGTAAAAATTGGGCCGAGCTGTGAGATGGACTTTGTGGCCCAAAATGCCAAGGACTGGGTAAAAAGGCCGAAATGTTACTCCGGCCCAAGAGAGATCACTCCGGCCCAAGCTGTTAAAGTTACTCCGGTTCAAGAACGATAGATTTACTCCGGCTCTGAGGAGATGTTGACTTACTTTGGCCAAAAGAGATGAAGTTACTTCGGCTAAGGAATTGTAAAGCTGCTTCGGTTTGGACAACCTGAGTTAGTCCGGTCTCAAAAGGTAGTCCGGTCATGATGAATTCGGGGTAGGTCGGTCGGAATGTTGCTATTCAGTAGATCGGTCCAAACACACCACGGTTCGTGTATGAGAGAACCGAGATATGGTGTAGCATAAAGAAGAACCAAACTACTGTTAGTACGGCCTACTTTGTGGCTCGGCATAACCAGTTTTACTTCGGTCAAATGGAAGTTCGGCCATGGAGAAAACCATCCCACTTGGTTTAAGCAGTGGGGGAGGGTGTAAAAGGATAAGCATTATCCTTAGGAGTATGAATCCTAGGAGGACTCTGCATGGAGAAATACAAGTCCTACTAGGATTGTGCCATAGGAAACTTATAAAAGCTCACAAGCATCACCTTGGAGGAGGTAATTGAACACAATTCTTTCTGAGAACATAAAACTTTGTCTATTTGTCAAGCTTACTGACTTAGGCATCGGAGAGGTTTCCGGCACACACCCGCCGGCTAGCTCACGTTTGTGTTTTCAGGTGATAAAGCGACGTCGTACGGAGGAGCGTGGACTTGGTCAACAGGATTATACGAGGAGAATTATTTCCTCCCCGTACACAAGGTATGACTATGCTTTTGACATGCAAATTTGCAATAACGGAAACGAAGAAATTTTTTTGTTATGTTTTCAAAGTAATATCTATGTTTGTGTCACGTTTAATGAAAAACTGATAATGGGGGTGTTTGTTTGGGCTTTTTTGAGCCAACTTATAGCTTGTAGCTTTGGAAAAGTTATTTTGGACTGTTTGGTTAAACTTAGTTCAAACAGTTTCTGATTCTAACAATTTATTTTAACTCCAAAAAGATGATTTTGAGAAGCTGTTCACCCCTTACTTCTAATTATCAGGTTCTGTTGTGGACATATTAATTTACAGTTATACTCTTGATTTTTTTTATTTTAATTTTTTTTAAAAATAAAAAAAGACCCAAATGGACTATAGATTATTATTATTATTTTTTATGAGACATGTAGAAAAGTAATGAATAACAAAAAATAAAAGTTAATTGAAAAAACTACTTCACAACTTATTTAACAAATACTACTTAGCAACTTAAATCTATAATCTAACAGTTACACCAAATAGATTAACAGCTTTTGATTAAAGTCATAATTTATAATCTGTTAAACTATAATCTATAATCTGTTTTAACAGTTACACCAAACGAGGCCCTTGTTTTTCGATTGGGTTTCTTGCCCTCCTTAAACTCTTGGGCATCTTTCTTTTAATTATATGTGAATGGTGTTTTTTCGATCAAACAACCAAAAAAAAGAAAAACGAAAAAGTGGGGTAGGTGCAATTGTTATCCTTACTACTTCATATTAATGTTTAATAAATTTGTCTCTCTATTCTCTCTTATTATTTATTTATTTTTTTTCCATTTTTCATTTATTATTATTTTTTGATAAATTATGAATACATTCTTTGAGATTTATTAAAATTATAAATTATCCTTCACGTTTGAGAAATCACATCCAACCCTTTGAGATTTTCAATCACATATTAATATTTATGAAATTAAATACTTTATTTTATTTTTTTTGTTTCCTATGCCACATTTGTTACTTTCTATCTTCTCTTAACTATCTCACCGGCAGATCTCAAAATACAGTATGGAGGGTTATGAAAAATAGCATCACATACTCTATTATGTGAGTTCCATCTCCAGGCCAGAATGATGATCCAAATTGGTCATCTCGTAGGCACATCATGAAAAATGACTTGTGCGAAAAATTAATTTCACCGAACATCAATAGACACATAAATAAATTACATTTTATTTTTTAAAATGGATGGTAACTATGAATTTAAACTTAAAAATCATTAATTTTTATAAAATAAAATGTGACTTGTTCATCTATTGATTTATAATCGATAAAGCTAATTTTTTTGCACAGAAGATCTTCACTATGAGATTAACGGTTTGGATCATTATTGTAAGCCTAGAATGAGGCTAGCAAAATGAAATATGGAAAAGTATGGAGGATAGTGATATGGAGGAGGGTAATTCCCTTTAGTTAGAGTTTTAGGATATTGAAATTTGCATAGTAATGAAGAATACCCTAGAATTCAAAATTTTAGAAGGATAAAGATAAATTTTAATATAAATGGTCAAGAATATCCTTTTAACCCTAAATACCCTTGAATTTTTTCACCTTTTAGTTTGTACACACACTCCATCTCTCTCTATCTTACCGACACAGACTTTTTTTTCTAAGTGATGCACCACTGTGACGACCTTGTCTTCATCATCATCTTTGTCCTCATTGAGATTCGTCGGAGTTGGTCCGACATAAGTCATCGACAACTCTCTCTACTATTGATAAAGATCTCTGCATGCCCAGTGCCATACCACTACGATGACCTCATCTCATCTTCATTGTTATCTCATTCTTGTCGAGATTCACTGGCATTGATCCAATTGGACATATTTCCGATTTTATCGACAGTTAAATCTTTATTTTCTATGCAGTGAAAATATTTATTTGTTGTTGATAAAATAAAGATTATACAATTTTCTCTGTAGCAAAATATAATTTTCACAAATTTCTATATTTTTTATTTATTTATTTATCTCTTTTGTTTCTTTCTCTCTAGTTGGTTGATAGAAAAATCAAAATCTGTAAAATTAATTGAAAATTTTGTTAATTACTGTCACAAAGAAATTTCAAAGTTTTGGCATAGTTTTCATTGTCCAAGTCAGCGACAATTAAATTTCACTATTTTAAAATAAAAAACTTTAAATTTTATTATTTTTTTAACTTTCAATTTGAATTTATTGTTCTTAAATTTAAAATTAGGGATCTAATTTTCAATTGATCTTCCATTTTACATTTTTGAGTGCTCAAATAGAAATTTTCAGTGTCTTTGGACAGTGAATTTTCACTGTAACGTACAACAAGCACATAAAATTTAATGAATATTTTGTTTTAAGTTCATATTGTTTGATAGATTTTAATGAGAGAATTCTAAAAATTTAAATTTTACAAAAAATTGAGTTATAAATTAAAAGTTACAAAATTTTAAAGTTTTGGAAGCGTATAAAAATTGTTAAAGTAATTGTAACTATGAGGATATTTTGTCCAAAATTAGTTTTGTGTTTTCTTATTTCATTTTCTAAAGTTTTATATTGCATATAATACATCTGTTAATAAAAATATTTCATAAAATATATTATTTTATGGGGTTTTTAGTTTTAGATCCCTACTAATTAGAAGAATAATGTAGTAGTGCATGCACCCACGCTATTTATGATCAAGACACGATTCACAATCTAATAATTCATTTTCATTCACTACAGGAAATTAGAGTTTTAGCGGCGTTTCAAAAACGCCGCCAAATGTTACAGCAACGTTTAATATTTTTGTCGCTGATACGGCCGCCGCAATAGCTTTGCAATGTTTGAAAAATGTCGCTAAAAATATTAGACGGCGTTTTAAAAAAAACGCCGCAAAATCTTTGATATGTGGGAACTTCCGTTACTAACACATGACGTCACAATGACGTCATTTAGTGGCATTTTTACCAAAAACGCCATTTTTTTTAATTTTTTTTTGGGTGTGTGTTACCATATAAAATTGAAAAAACAGACCAACTCAATTCCCATCAGTTGCTTTTGCAACAACACATACCAATGAAGCAAAGATGACATACTATTCAATCCAAAGTACCAATACAAATTAACAACTAGTAGCTAATCTAACAACAATACACAATACTCTAATAGCAATTCACTACATGAAGCAGTTCCAAAAGCTGCTTCTCACAACTGGTCACATGAACCCAAACTTCCACCTGAGTTGTCGGCTTGTCTCCAATGTGTTCAGAATTTTGCAAGTGTATGCCGATTAGCACCAATATTTAGATTGACAACCTTTGACAAGGAACAATAAAAGAAGATGTTAATAAGTATATAAATAAAGATTATAAACTACGATTCATATTACATACTTGACTACAATGTGTGTTAACTGAGCATTGGGATGACTGAATCACATAATTGACTACAATGTGTGTTATATGCACTCCTACTTTCCATTTTCCAGATCTAGAATTACATTCGACATAGCAGGTAACAATGATACTAAGGTAAGTAATCAATAAAGCTCCAACATAATTGACTTGCAACCGAAAAGTTTAGGCATAATTTGGTCAGGAGAATACCTTCAGAAGTGTAACAAAATCAGGAGATCGATGGAATGCAGCAAGTATGAATTCTAAGAGCCTCTTTTGAACCTACATGCATAAAGCACAATGCATTGTGAATGTTTCAAGCACAAAAATAATTTCAGCATTTAGATAACAACCGACAGAGATATGTGATGTAGTACAAGTAGAGATAGAGAAAGAAGCAGCAGAGAAAGGGGAGAAGAAGAATGAGAATCAGATAGGAGATAGAAGCAGAGATAAGAAGAGATGGTGAGAGTGTCTAATGGGGGGAGAGAGAGAGAGAGAGAGAGAGAGAGAGAGGAAGAGAGGTACAAAAATTCTTAATAACTTCAATTATGCCACAATCTAATAAAATTCATACACCAACACTATGTATATATAAGGCTAACGAATAAAAATAAATAGATATACTCAAAATAACTCATGAACAGATTTAAACTCCTAAATAACTCAAACTCCCAATTATTGCTTCCTTATCGATCTTCATCAATTCTCCCCACTAAGAAGAACTCGCATATGGAGAATAAAGAGAAAGATAGCACTCAAATTATTCAGAATTAAAGTATCAAAGATTGTGGCATAATTGATGAAGCCAGAGCATATTATTCATATATTTCAAATCAATGATGAACCCAACACCATTCCAATTAGTAAAACTTCAATCACTTCCGATTCCTTTGAAACCAAAAATAAAAAAATAAACTAAAATAAAATAAACTTGAATAATAATTTGAATTTTTTTAAAAAAAGAAAAAAAATAAAAAAAACCCATTCAAAACACCCTAAACTCCTTGACATAAACTTACACCAAATTGAATTTTACTCCAATATTTACCAAATCAAGAAATTCTCAAATCTATATTCAAAATTAAATTCTAAACTAAGGTCTCAAATTTTCCACTTTGCCATTAGTTTTTACAATACAGATTCAAGTAACTCCCTTTTTTTTATGATTGAAAATAAAGAGCAAATCGCAAGTAATATTGCAATTCTAACAGCATATATATATATATATATATAACAGTACACACAAAGAAGAGAGAGAGAGAGAGAGAGAGAGAGAGAGAGAGATCTAATAAAAACTTACAGATTTGAGAAGCCAAATCTCAAACAGGTTTCATGTAGATTAATCGACCAATTGATGAACGATGAGATCTAATAAAAACAGAAAATCAGAAGTGAGAAGCCAGATCTGAGTTAGAATGTAAAAAATCTATTAAAAATAAAAAACCTAAACAAATTGAAACTCACAAAATCGAAAGAGACAACTACAAATCTGGAGAATCAACCTTCGAATCTTCAAGAATCAACCTTCGAATCTGATGAAGAGATGAGTACAGAGAGTAAGAGTGAGAGAATTTGAGCAAGAGCGAGAGTGAGACTGCGACAGAGAGAATTCGAGCGAGAGCTAGAGTGAGAGAAACTGCAAATCTGGAGAATCAACCTTCGAATCTTCAAGAATCAACCTTTAAATCTTCGACAAACTTTATAGATCTGATGATGAGATGAGTACAGAGAGTGAGAGTGAGAGTGAGACTAAGAGAGAGAGAATGAGCAAGAGCGACAGTGAGACAAAGACAGAGAGAATGAGAGCGAGAGCGAGAGTGAGAGACAACTGCAAATCTGGAGAATCAACCTTCGAATCTTCAAGAACCAACCTTCAAATCTTCAACAAACTTCATAGCTCTGATGAAGAGATGAGTACAGAGAGTGAGAATGAGACTGAGAGCGAGAGAGAATTTGAGCGAGAGCGAAAGTGAGACTGAGACTGAGAGAGACTTCGAGCGAGGGTGAGAGTGAGAGTGAGAGTGAAAGTGAATTCGAGCAAGAGTGAGAGGGAGGGAGAGAGTGAGATAGGATATGTAACGGCGTCAGATATGCACCCACAACAGCATTGTTTTGAAATTTAATTAACACAACATTGTAGTTTTTAATTTTTAATTGATCAATGATGGCGTTTTAATAAAAATGCCATAAAAAAAACGTTGCCTTAGCTTGTTTTTGTTGTAGTGATTGTTGATTTGTTGGATTCAGTGTGGTCCAAACTAATGGTGTAATAAGAAAATTTACAAGGTGTTAGATAGTTAGCGACCAGAGAATTAGAGATGAGTTAGAATTTCTCACCTATCAAAGGACTTTTGTTTTTTTTTCTTTTCATTCCAAATCATAATCTGGAAGGTGTGGTTCGTGATAAATTGAAAATGTTACAACTATTGAATCAATTTATTTATTTTTGTTAATTATATACGCGAAAGGTCTAACAAAACGAATTATACAAATCATAAAAAACGAGACTCGTAACAAACCCCACAAGCCTAAACAATGCCCTCCAATCCAAGAGATCCAAGTACTATAAAAATATTATGTAAATAACGCCACATAATATATCTCAGCACTATATAATAATTTTGCGTTCCTATATATAGCATTCGAAAAATAAATATAAGATGGCGAACTCAACTCAACGGAGGAAATTGCTAGTATCCCCAAAAGTGCATGTAGATGGTGAAAACATTTGTAGTATTAGAGGAAATGTCAAGCTGGAGTTGTTCATTGCTAGAAGTCATTACAACACATTTGCTCTTGCCCGTTGCATTTTGGAGTAAGAAAGCGAGTTTTACGGATTGCCAGCTTTGAATGAAAATGCTAGATAAGGACCCAATAGAGGGCTATGTACCACGTCCAAGACTTCATTGTCCTTAATATATATATATATATATATATATATATATATATTACAATGTAAAATATATTATCAAAATCTCCATATAAAATAATTTTGAGAGGTATTTAAAATGATTTAAATAAGTATACTTTTAAATTTTTTTATAAAAAGATGTACGAAAAAGTAGAGAGGTGATGTGACCCAAATAAGTACACTTATTTAAATAAGGACACTTATATAGGTTATGCTTTAGAACAAAACTTTTGTTTATAGTTTTGGTTTATGGGAAAAATATTGAGTTAAATCCAAAGTAAAATTTATCATAATCCTACCAAATTTGAATTTTATTTTGTGAAATGATGCCAAAAGATTAACATGATATCAAAGTATTAGGCTCGAATTTTTGTCATCTTTGAACCAAACATACAAGTGGAACCCATACATTCTTTTAGGCAGGCCCATTTTAATATGTTCACTTCTACTGTAGATGAACAATAAATTTTTATTTGCTCAAAACTATTAAAAACTGAATAAGAAATTGTTGGATAATTTTCACCGTATTTAAATAGATTAAATTCTATTGTGTACTAAACAACAACAAGAATATGAAGAAATAAAGGAAATGAGAGAATTTGTTTGATTACAAAAATCAAACTAGAAATAAAATTAAATAAATAAAAAATAGATTTTATTTTATTACAAAAACAAAATTAAAATCCGATTTAATAAACAAATAAAACAAAATAATAAATTAAACAACTTACTTGATTAATTTGTTCTAATAAATATCTGATCAAGTCCAGTGTTTGACACTATGTCCTTAAGACAGATTCGTCCTCTCCACGGTGCTTTCAGAATATGGACGTCTATCTCCCAGGATGAAATGATCTACTACAAACAATAGCAGCACTACAAATTGTTTGCCTTACGAACACACTACGTGTTTACATTCTTTCTTTCAGAAAATAAATGCAGCAAAATGCAGAGATCAGAGCTCTTAAGTACGAAAATTCTGAATCTCAAAATCAAATGAAGGGCTGATCTATTTATAGATGGATTGGTGGCTTTCCATTTTGAATGAAACAGGTACAGTACCTGTTCAATTTGAATTAAACAGATACAAATCTGTTTAAGGCACTATATGGTTTGAAATTTAGGTGGATTTGAATTTGAACTTATAAAAACGGGAAGGGCCTTATTTGGGTGTCAGGAAAAAGCCGGACCAGTTTAATTCCGGAATTAATTTGAATTCTGGATTTTTTAAAATTTAATTCAAATGTTTTTGGCCCAAAAAGATAGGTATTGGGCCGAACAAGCCCAACCCAACCTCACACCATGCACCCACCCAAGCCCAGCCCGCCTGATCGGACGGACGACGGCGCGCGTGCGCGTGCGTGGTGATTTTTGGGTCCAATGGGTCTAGCCCATTTTGCCCATAACCTCCATCTCTAAAACACTTGGGTACCCCTTGGGGCACACCCCAAGTACCAAACCCATGCCTTATAAACCCATTCAAAACTTTCCACCAAATCAATGTGGGACAAGCCTTATTCAAACCTTTAAGGATTTTCCACAAAAACTCCATTTCCATGGAGCATACTTTGGCTTCAATTTCCCATTCACTCGGTAATGGTTTTACCAACCAAATATACCACGTGAATCACAACGCGTCATAGAACGCGTTACCACTTTGACCCGCGACAATCGATGCATAGGGCCCACCTAAAACATAGACCAAACATAGGAAAAAATTCTGGTTTTACCTAGAATTTTATAACCATTTCCAACAATCCCCCACATGAATGGAATTTGATGACAACGGAAATGCAACAATATGCAGACTTTATCGAAAGAGTATAATTCGAAAATATCTTGCATCGGGATAGGTAGCTTTCGGCCTTGAACCTTCTCTAGTGATAACCTATCGGACTTACTGGCTAACCAATGGACGCGATGCCCTGAATTGTTCAGCCGTTTGTGTAAACCAAGACAATAGATTTCACACAAAATATCTTCTAACACATCGTGGTTTTCACTATTGTGTTCATTTTGGCCTTGAACGCTCCTGGTTTTCATGAGTGTTTCTAGAGAATTTAGCCTCTTTCATTCTCATAGAACCGGCCCTAGTTCAACACTCATATAGGTGATTCTTATTGTAAGTATCTCTTTATACTTGTCTTGATTTTTATACCTAAATCAAGATGTAAGTAATCATTAAAACCAAAGCTTATCCTTATACCCCTGCATACAACATATGTTGCAGATATCACTCTCACCATAGGAATGGGTAAGGAATTTTAATACCTTGGTGATTTCTGGCGAGCCATACATAACTTAGTTGTCCCTTTGAACTTAGTTCTTGGGATCTCCAGTCATATAAGTAGGGTTACCATTATGATTACTCTTATGCAATAGGCTTTAATCCCATCCCCTTCGATGAACTATACACTAGCTCTTTTGTCAAACCTTTTGTTAACAGATCCGCAATATTCTCTTTAGATTTAATATAATCTATTGAGATTATTTCATTTGACAACAATTGCCTTACGGTATTTTGTCGACGGCGAATATGTCGTGACTTACCGTTATACATATGATTCTGTGCCCTGTAACGCCCCCAAAATAATACATAAATCCATCACCTTAGACATGAATTGATACAAAAGAAAATAACCACTTCTATTCATCATCGTAGTTCTTATAACCATATTACATGTTAACAACAAAAGCAAATGCCCTACGGGCTTACAGCTTTCCAAGTCAACACTTGGTTACACAAAAGAAGAGTACTAACTCTACACAAAAGAAGCCCTTGGCTTGATATACATGTAATACAACAAATAAACAAAAGAGCCTTCAACTCTCATCATCATCCAAGCTATGTCCTTAGAGGTGGAATGCTACCTGAACCTGAAAATAATGTCCCATATAGGGTGAGCTAACGCCCAGTAAAGATATGCTAAACACAATATGAGCAATAACTAAGACATTAGCAATTGATAAATGTTCAATTTCCACCAATCAGTTCATAATCCACTTCCATTTCATAATTCATGTCATAACAATTTCACAATTTACACCGACGGCTCAGAACCTGGCCACCCACTGGTATGAGACAGTGACTCATATTAAACATTTCCCATTTTTATAATAGATAAACATATTAGTTGTATCAACATCTCAAAAGATAAGCATACAAGCTGTGTCCATATTTCAACAGATAAGCATATTAGCTATATCAACACTTCCATAGATAAGCATATGAGCTGTATCAACACTTCCATAGATAAGCATATGAGCTGTATCAACACATTATCTGACAAGCATATAAGCTGTATCAGTGGAGTCCATCCCCTATCTCCTCCCAAACAACATCCGGTTTAGAGGTCCATCCCCTATCTTCCCCTAAACCGTGGAGTACTTCCCCTATCTCCCCCCCACACACAACGTATATACATATAGGTCATATACACAATCAATCAATACATAACGATAATGTATTCTATCACCGACATACTCTATGACATAACCAATTGATTAGTTTTAGTTTGCCTAATCATCATGCATTATCTACAACAATCAAAACTACCCTCCACCGGTAGCCCAAGCAATTATTTCTAAACAGATAACAAAAGCTTCAACAGATAAAATATCAATGTTTTCAAGAGTGAGCGATTAATAAATCCAACTCCACCATTTCATCACATAATGAACCAATTTCATTATTTACAACTCAATTTCATTAATCCAAAACTTTCCCAAATTAATTGTAC